ATAAGGTGTAAAGTTTATTATTTTAAGGTTACACTTTGCAAATTGCAGTACACAAAACGACTTTACTTTTGCTGTGGTCATTTTAAGAGTCGGAACAAATTATAAAATAATAAAAAAAAAAATCAACAAAAAGAAGCATTTATGCAAGATTGAATAAAATTTTTCATTTATTTTAATAAATTTGAATTTCTTTCTATTTTCCGAAATCTGCAAAAATATAAAGAAAGATGAGTTTGATTTAAAATCCAGAGTTCTTTAGAATTTATTTAAAAAAAAATTAATTATTTTTTAAAAAATATATTTCCATCGCGACAGAAAAATTACTAGGTTTCAAATCCAAAACTTAAATCTGAAATTAAAATTAAACTTAAAATTTGAAGTTTCATTACATTTTCAAGCGATGCTGAAAATAAACTTCGAAAGAAATGATTTACTCTATAAGCCAAATAGTATTATATATTTTATTTTGGCTAGGTAATGAGAATTCAGATTTTTTTTTTATTAAGTGGGTGTTGGCTTTTTTAAGGATTAAAAACATAAATTCTCATTACCCCACCAATTTAAAATACATAACACTATTTAGCTTATAAACAGAATAAATCTTTTTTTTTTTTTTTTGAAGTTTATTCTTAGCATCGCTTGAAAATGGACCGAAACTTCAAAGTTTAAGTTTAATTTTAATTTAAGATTTAAGTCTTGGTTTCGAACCAGAAATTTCTCTGTTGCGATGGAAACATATTTAAAAAAAAAATAATTATAACACACACACACACGCAGGCAAACACACACATATATGTATGTATGTGTGTACATTATTAATTATTAATAAATTATGTGTATATTGTTAATTATTAATAATTAATTATTACAATATAATTAATTTATTTATTTGTTAAACGTTATTTTTAATGGATACTCATATTTGAGGAGATGCTTTGTTCTAATTTATTTATTTCAATCTACCAGACTGAATATTCGAGAAATCTTTTTCGAAAAATATTCGCAACCAATTTTCACGAATATTCAGGCCAGCAGATGGCAATAAATAGATATACTGTTTCATAAATAAATAAAACAGAGCATCTACTCTAAGAACGTTTAAAAAAATATGCCGGATTTAATCCATTTCCATATATATATATATATATATATATATATATATATATATATATGTACTCATGAATATATTCATATATGTATACAGATGAAATAGCCTCTTCCACATGTAAAAAATTCTAAAAATTATGGAAGCATTAATAATATAAAAGAAAAAAGCCAACACTCAATAATATCAACTGTGAATACGGCCACAGTATGCTGACCGTGTTTGGAAAATAAAACAGTCCTATAACACTAGATACATGCAGTAAACTATCCATACATTCAGTTAAAAATAAAATAAAATCAGCCTTGATAATGACTAAAAGTATAGCCGAAAGCGCTGGGACAAACAGAACATTTGGACAATTTCGACAGAATTTATGCCCGGAAGAGAAGAAAATTATGCAAGAAAGATTAAATAAAAATCTTAACAACAATACCTTGTCAGTCGTTTTTAAGAAGTCTTATATAAAAAGGGGATTGCTGCCAAAAACACAAACACACACACACACACACACACACATATATATATATAACATAGAATTGAATACAATATGGGAACACACACACAGACATATATATATATATATATATATATATATATATATATATATATATATATATATTGCATAGAAATGAATACAATATGGGAACCAGTAATAAAGAGTGCCAGAGAAAAGTGATAATAACAAAATTTGCAATATGAGCTCTGGTAAAAACATGCACTGATAACAGCAAAAAAATGCAATATGAGCACTGGTAATAAAAGAAAATGTGGTTGCTGAAGACATTAGGTTTATATTACCCAGAAATTCATACACAGATGTCCTCAAGGACACATGGTACAGTGGATAAATGCGTCGGCTAGATCCAGTGACAGGACCCAAAACAGTGTTAAGGCGGTGGTGAACTTGGAGGCGATGGAGGACTTGGAGAGCGGAATTAACAGGAGATAACTGATATCCATTAAAAGCATGGCACGTGGAACTAGAACAGTCTACCCCAGTGAGCGAAATAAAGGGTTCAGTTCGACATTCCAACCACTTGAAGACGGCCGGAGTGTACAACGGCCGAAAACGTTGTAATAAATATGGCGACAAAGATGAGGAGAATAGTCTTAATAATGTAAATAGTGATATTTGTTTATATACCTATATGTGTGTGTCTGTGATAGAGCTGACGTAATAGTGGGAAAAGATGGAGAAGGAATAGGGAAAGAATATAAGGCGACGAGAAAACGATGAAATAGAGAAATAAGCACAACATCCCACACATGACCCCAAACACAAACGTAGGGGCGAACACACACAAGCAAACAATGAAGAAAAATTCGACTTAATACCAATGAAAAGCCTACCAATTATTTTTAAAATTAATATAAAAATAGGGAAAATGAGAAAATCGGCAATTGCTGAAACATCCTGACGAGTGAACCGAACGATTACAAAAAAGGTGGTTCGTCTATGAATATATATTCGACTCTGCAATCGTATTTGACGTATGAGGGTCAAGCAGATCAGCCCGACAGCAGCACATGTGATTTTATTATAGTGGTGAAGGTTTTGTGCAAAACCAGCCACACTTTTTGAAGGGCCGAATAGAGAAACCTGGTGCACTACCTGCCACAGCGTCTCCAAACGCCCCTCTGCATGTTTTGAATTCAGAGTTGTTATTCTCTCATCCAAGGCTAAAGAACCCAGTCTGTCCTGCTATTTACTCTCTGTCTCTGAATTTGTCTATTTGAACTCTGTCTGTCTCTCTGTCAGTCTCCACCGTCCATGTTATATATATATATATATATATATATATATATATATATATATATATATATATATATATATCATAAATAATGAACTATTCCGTTTTGATCGCGTAAAAAGACAAAAGATATATCAAAGACGCTACTTGGTTTCAATGAGAAGACGAGAGAATGAAAGAATTGTTTAACGTCTCCTCCCAATACCTCATAAATAATGGAGTATTCCGTTTTGATCGCGTGGTAAGACAAAAGACATATCAGAGAGGGGACTTGCTTTCAGTGACAATAGAAAGAAAAACAGAACGATAGATATACTTAATGTCTCCTGCTATCACCTCATAAAATAATGGACTATTCCGTTTTGATCGCATGGAAAGACGAAAGACAAACCTACTTGGTTTCAGTTGTAAAATAAAAATTAAGAGACGATAGAAGTGTTTAACGTTTGTTTCAGTGAAAGTTATCAATTCCAGGTCTTTTCATTTGTATCCACTTCTTAAAGTAACAACCAGCATTCATATTTATGAATCATAAATCAAATTGTTAAACGAGATTTAACGATGCGATAGGGCAATTTATACGGATATATTATTGTCGTAGAACTCGCCATAAGCTTATTCAATCATTAACTGAAGAATTGGGATTAATCAGAATATTAAAATAGGAAAACTCGGAGATTTTCACAGTTTAAAATAATTTAGTTATTCGTTATGAACCAACACATGATTATAAAAGAAATACTTGCAAAAATATATTTTTTATATATAATAATAATAATAATAATAATAATAATAATAATAATAATAGAAAAAGAAAAAGAAGAATAAGGAGGAGGAGAAAGGGCAGAGTAGGAAGGATATATACCAGAAGTGAAATAATAATAATAATAATAATAATAATAATAATAAGAAGAAGAAGAAGAAGAAGAAGAAGAAACAGAAGAAGCAAAAGAAGAAGAAAAAGAAATGCATATGATCTTAGGTTGTTGTTTTTTGTTTGTCTTTTACAAATATGATCAGTGGAAAACGTCCTATCATATCTGAACTTAGATCTCTGGTTGGGAAATGCGTATACAGCAGAAATCAAAGGAAATAATAATAATAATAATAATAATAATAATAATAATAATAATAATAATTTTTAGACACCGCAAAGACAATGTGTCTCTTTATTGACATGGCAGTCCCTGCAGACTGCAATGTATCTTTGAAGATCAAAGCTATCAAAATACAAAGACCTTGAAATCGAAATCTCAAAAATGTGGCACATGAGTATATCAACATTTTTGGAGCCCTAGGATTGATTGGAAAAGATTCCAACAGATTCATTGAAGGGTCCCTGGAGACCCATGACTTAAAGAAATACAAAAAATTGTTCTCACGAGTACAGCCCACACTTTACGAAAGGCTTTATCTATATAAAATATGTGCGATTTTTTTTTCAAATATGCTCAGTGAAAAATGTCATGATACCATTTCTCACCTTAGGTATCTGGTCGGAACCCAGAAAGAAATTAGTATACACCAGAAACCAAAAGAAATAATAATAATAATAATAATAATAATAATAATAATAATAAATGGATAATAAATGAATAACTATATTCGACGAGAATTTAAAAGTTATGGCAATATTATTAAAAATACAAAAAGAAGAGAAAAAAAAAGGAAATATTTTTGGTGTTTTGAGAAGAATTGTTGTCGCTTGACCTCCATTCAGAATTGCCAGCATGTAATGTCAACGAATAAACAAAAAATAAAACCGATGTTAATATTTTTTTTTTTTAATTCGAATATCGTAATTGGCTAGAATAAATAAGTAAACGTGTGAAAAAGACAAGAAAGGGGAAAAAATGAATGAAATAAAAGAATCAAAATGGCGTGGAGAAGGCTGAAAGAACGAGACGAAATTGTTTGGTAGTGTTGTATATGAAGCCCGCCAAATTTATTTCCCAAAGAATGCCGGACACACACACACACACACACACACACACACACACACACACACACACACACACACACACACTTCTGGGTCTTATACGCGAAATTGAGATATCTGGTAGGCTAATGTTTACCCAGTCGCCGTAGACAACCGGTACTTGAAAGTCGTCTGAATGCAGAGAGATCGTGGTGGGAGGAGCTTATGTGCTATTAAATGCCGCGATGATTCTTGGACTTCTGCCGAACAGACGCACAAAAAAAGAAAGAGGCCAAGACGAAGAGAACGGGCAGAAAAGAAAGAAAGAAAGAAAGAAAGAAAGAAAGAAAGAAAGAAAGAAAGAAAGAAAGAAAGAAAGAAAAGGTAAATAGGAGAGAAAAAATAAATAAATAAAAAAAGGAAGAAATGGAATGGGAAATAAGGGAAAACTAAAGAAAAACGAAAAAGAAAGGGATACAGAAAAAAAAGAAAGAAAGAAAGAAAGAAAGAAAAGAAAAGAAAAGAAAGAGAAAAGAAAATGAAAAATGAAAGGAAAAAGGAAAATAGATGAGAAAAAGAAAGAAACAAACAAACAAAAAAAAGGATGAGAAAGAGTGGAAAAAGAAAAAAAAAAAACGAAAAAGAAAGGTGTAGAGTAGAAAAAGAAAGATGGGATGAAAGACAGAAATTGCAAATTCAATGAAAAATGGAAATCGATAAAAAAGACAGAAAAAAAAGAATGAAGGAGGAAATGAAGGAGAATAAGGGAAGGGGAGAAAAGAAAGAAAGAAAGAAAGAAAGAAAGAAAGAAAAAGAAAGAAAGAAAGAAAGAAAGAAAGAAAAGTGTAGATTTAATCAGATGAAAAGGAAAAAGACTTTCACTGCATTTATTGAATTGAATTAAAGAAAGAAATAAGGGAAGAAAATTTAGGCGATAGAATGGCGAAATACGCGTGGCCATCATTCAATTTTTGCCCTTTTTTCTCATCAGTGTTGTTTAAATTATTTTATTTTAGGTTAGTATTTTTTATTCTCGCTTCAATGGTGTTTTTTTTTTACATTTTCAATCATTCATACAATATATTTGCTGTATCTATTAATCTTATTTTTTTCGCTTTTCTCCCTCCTATTCAAATTATATTGCACACTTTTTACTTTTCTATCTATCTATCTATCTATCTATCTATCATTTTTATCTATGT